AAAAAAAAAAAAACACTATACTTGGAACAATTTAAGTCTGTTTCTCCATTATGTCTTCAGTCTTTAGTGATTCTTTTTTCTTTGGGTTTTTTGTTTTTTGTTTGTTTTTTGAGACAGGGTCTCAAGTTTCCCAGGTTGGACTTAAGTTCACTATTATGTAAAGGATGACTGTGAACTTCTGAGTGTGTGCCACCATGCTCAGTTTTAGGTGGTGCTGGGGATTGAACCTAGGGTTTTATGCATGCTAGGTAAGCACTCTGTCAGCTGTGCTATATTGCTACTCTTCATGACACTTACCGATGCTTGAGATCAGGAGAAGACTTTTAGTCTCAGTTAGCCTGTACCACAGTTAAAGAGTTACATGCACTCTAGACTATATTTGGTGATTTTACAATTTGTTCTGACAAGATTACAAATACTTTGAGACACTTTCTTTGTCTAAGACTTATGTCAAACAGGACAAAAGGAACACAAATACTTGATTGTGTGGTGGCTGTGACTATCTACTGTGGTATGGACGTAAAGGATTGCAGTGGACAGAAGAATACATAATACAACCTTACTGCATTCAATAAGTATATAGGACAAACCGCTGAGAAAAAGACTCATACAAAAAGAAACTCAACTGAATTTCTATAACTTACACATACAAAAATAATAGTTCATATATAAATGTAGAGAAATAAAACGTTATTTGCTACTGCTTTGAAGCTACTAAAATGGCAAAAATTAAAAGAAGTAAGGAAATTAAGAAGTGATTTTTCTACAAGAGACTATGAAAACTGACTAACCACATATACTGGGTAATAAACACATCATTCATTTATGGCAGTGGATGGAGACAGAGAATACAAAGAAAGGAAATAGGAATCAGACCTCAGCTACTGCTGCCACACTTAGGAGAATTGTACTCGATAACCAAGGCCTAAGAGCTTAGCCTTAGAGTGACAGTCTGCAAATCAACCCATCATTATTTGCCCATGCACCAACAATCCATGAAGAAACAGCATTTGAAAACAGATCTCCCATGTGGCTCATGCCTGTAATCCCAGCATTTGGGAGATTGAAGCAGAACTGTTACAGGTTCAAGGACAGTATGGAGAGAGAGAGAGAGAGAGATATCATTCTGTTAAGTGACTTATTACTAAACCCTAGAATATATGATTATAATTTCTTCTCAAATAAGAAACAAGAGATGCCATCTGTCATCAACCTCTTTCTGGAAGACATGCACATCCAAAACATCCACAGACCCACACAGCCCCTAGCACCACCACCAACCCACACAGTAAATGACAATGTCTTCATTACCATATGCCTCACACCCCACCAGATTAAGCAGAAGCAGCTGATTAGAGGAGTGCCGTTCTCATGAAACTGACATGATGCTGATTACACATGACAAGTTGTCATACTTGATAATAAGCCATGTGGAAAGCCTCAACTATAAAAAGGCCACTGCTGTTAGGATACAAAAGGCTATCTCGCTAGCTCCCCACAGTCAGACAGATTCAGTGATCTTCATCTAATTAATCCTCTCCACCCAGACATTCTAAAGCACACAACTACACAGTAAGGTCAATGTAGCATAAATCCTGTTCAAAGAATCCAGGGGAAGTATTTCAAAGATAAACAGACATGAGCACACTGAAGTCTGCCTACTTCAATCCACATGAGGAGTTGCATGAGTCTGCAATCAGCATATCCCAGCTATGAAATTTGTCCAGAGCTTTCAAATTGAATACAACTAACACAGTTTGACCAACTGAATGGGCTAGATCACAAAGAAGTAAACTCTGTATCTCCAAACTGTGACATATCAAATTACCTATAAGGGAGGGGGGAAACGGCTTTTTGTTGCTCGTGCAGAGGACCTGGGTTTGGTTCTCAGCACCCACATGGTAGTTCACAACCATTCATGACTACAGTTCTCTCTGATACTCTCTTTTGATCCTTGCACGAACTATACCTGTAGCACACATACATATAGGCAGGGAAAACACTCAGATGCATAATATAAAATAAATCTAAAATATAATTTTTTAGGCTGGGAATGGTGGTACATACATTTAATTCTAGCACTGAATAGGGAAAAGGATCTCTATGAATTTGAGGCTAATCCAGTCTATATAGTAAATTCCAGGATAGCAAAAGCTACATAGTGAGATTGTCTCAAATAAATAAACCAATTAATTAAATGGCTGGGCATGGCGGTACACTCCTTTAATCTCAGTATTGGGAGGCAGAGACAGGTGAATCTCCTGTGAGTCCCAGGCCACCAAAACAGTGAGACCCTGGGCTGGTTTTTTTGTTCTTGTTTGTTTGTTTTGGGTTTTTTTGTCAACTTGATACACTAGGGTCATCTGAGAACAGCCAGGACTACACAGTGAAACCTTGTCTCCAAAAACAAAAAAAAAACCAACAAACAAAAAGACCCACAGGCTGAGCAAGCCATGAGGAGCAAGCCAGTAAGCAGCATTCCTCTTTGGCTGATGTTTCAGTTCCTACTTCTGGTTTTCTGCCCTACTAGAGTTCCTACTCTGGCTTCCCTCAATGACAGACATATAAGCCAAATAAACCCTTTCCTCCCCAAGATGCTTTTGGTCATGGTGTTTATTTATCACAGCAATACAAAGTAAATTAATATAAAAAACAGAACAAAACAAACAAGAACCTGAACTAACATCAACTACCAATTTTGTAAGTTATAGAGTAACACCAGGAAGTCCCCTGTACTGGACTCTCACTGTCCAGAGGCAGAGACTACACAAGATTGTCTCAGAAACAAAAAGATAGATTATAATAATTATAATAAAACATATAGAATTTAATTAAAAACTAGAACTATATACATTTATTATCAA